ATATATATATATATATATATATATATATATGCATATTTAAATCTTATTTTTTATTTTCTCTCAATGTGTGTTTCTCATGGGTGTACAAATATGTATGTATGTATGCATGTTTGTATTTTTTAGTTACTTATTCGGTATCTATTCTTCACTGGAAGAAGATTCAAAAACAAGGTCCGCCACACAATGGAATCTTTTTGGTGCATATGATTTAACAATACGTATGGCATTTATATGGATTAAACGTACCATATCTTCCCCGAGTGACATTTTTACATGTTGCCTCACAGTATCTTCCGCATTATTTTTATCAGACAAGAAATGATAATGGATAGTACCAATAGGATTTCCATTCGGTGAAACCTTTAGAAAAGAAACTGCACGTGGTAAAAATTCTTCACATGATGGAATATAACCCATAAGCACACGATCACACTTACCACATAATTCAGATCCAACTTCCCTATTATCACCACAGTATGTACGTATCACATGACTGACTTTATTTTGAACAGCATTATATTTTAGAAATGTTACACTATTTGCATTCTTTTCCAATGCATGAATAACTTTAGGTCCTCCATGCATGGCTAATGGAATAGTAAAGTAACCAATACCAGCAAACATATCCACCACAACCTCATCTTTAGCTACAATAGTAGAGAAATGCATACGCTCCGTTCCATTTCCACTGCAAAACATAACCTTAGAGACATCAAAACTATATCGAACACCATTTTCAATATGAGTTGTAAATGTCAAAGAATCTGTACACGTTTCGAATAACTTCACATCCTCTGGTGAGACACAAGCAGGATCACATGACTGCCGAAGTGTGTACTTCAGCGACTCCTTCGGCATTGTAATGCTTTCCGTTGCGCTCTTCCACAGTAAATGCAGCTGCGGCTCTCGCAGTTCCCCGCCAATCCCAACGGTGTCCAGCAGCACAACCGTGACGACACGCGGGGCGAAGGACTCCGCGAAGACGGCGGCGCACTCCTCGAAGTCCCCCCGCGACACGCCGGCATTCAACTTCACCACCACCACGTGGCCAAAGAGCTCAAAACGCCGCGGGAATCGCCGTGTGATTTCCGACTCGTCTCCGCCCGCCACCCCGCGAGCGACCGCCCGGCGTTTAAAGGCCTCCGCCGGCCCCAGCGTCCCACTGCGGGGTTTGTCGTCCTTTTTCTCCTTTTTCTTTTTCTCCTTCTTCTTTTTCTTTTCTTCACTCCCCCGCTGCGGGGGTCCCTCCTCGTCCTCCTTCGGCCCCTCCGGCCGCGCATCGCCCCACTGGCGGGTCCACAGCAGCGAAGCCACGAGACCCCCCGCCGCGAGCCCCAAGAGGAGCAAATCCCCACGAGAACACGCCATCTTGCGAAAAGAAAAAAGAAGAAAATGAAAGAATAAAGAATAACAAGAGAAAAAAAAAAAAAAAAAAACAGAAAAGAGTCTTATAATGGTATTACTTATATATACATATATTTCTTTTTTTCGTTTGTTAAGGAGCAAAGAAATAAATAAAAAATGAGAAACAGTAAGAATGCAATGCATATGTGGTAACAAAAAGAAAAAAAAAAAAAGAGAGAGAGAGAGAGAGAGAGAGAGAGAGATGGGATTACCGATATTAAAGCTATTCACACCCAATTTAATCCACACCCCCTAACACAGCACATATAAAAATACACACCTATACAGTTCTCCTTACTTTCCACAAAGGAATTTTTTTAAGCCATTATGAAGATGATGCAAATTCAAAATAAATACTTGATTCCTCCGATAATTTCATCTTGTTAATCCGATCTAATTGTGTATAACTGTACTCTTTCTGAATAAATAAAGTATGAAAGGATAGTGCACCAATAATCTCATCACCATTAAGAAACTCTAAACGAATATCCTCAGAAAGTTCTTTAAAGAATAAATGTTTTGCAAGATTCACAGTTGTTACATAATTTGCGGATTTTTCAATGCGAATATTATCACGTGCAGATGAGGTCAAATCAAGATTACATTTTCCCTTATTTGTATACCATATGCATGAGCTAATCGTTGTTTTTGCCTCTATACCTCGAATTTGAAAAGAGAGAATGTCAATTATAGGAATATCTGAAGGAACCTGACCATTGTACTGTTTTAACAATACTTCGTAATACTCTACATATCGTATCTGACTTGGAATTGTTAAACCACGTCCATTTAATGTTCGTTTTATACCATAGTATTCGATAGCTTTTATTGCTGAACCCTCAATCAGTGGTTCAATACACATAAGTAAACAACATGTGAGTAAACCAGTCCTTCCCTTTCCTGCTTTACAGTGAATTACCACTACACCTTCCCCTAATGGACTATTGCAGGAAATAAATTTTACAGCATCTTCAACAAAAGAAGGTATCATTGTCAATGGACAAGCCCAATGATCAGGAAATGGGTACTCTCGAACTCTACCATGGAAAAAGTTCAAATTATACCGATGTTGAGACTCTGCACAGAGATTGTAAACCATATAGTCTGTGCCATATTTGTAATCAAGATAGTGCAGAACCACTTTATACTGATTCCGGTAGAATGACTCTAATCCTAATGCTGGAAATCCCATACAAACTATATTTTTATGCACTTGCACTAAATCCAAATCCACGGCACCATAATTAGGGACACTCCTATCCACAGTTCTTCGCTTCTTCTGACTAACCGCGTGGCGAGCCACAACACAGCAGCACCCCATTCAGTACTGAGAGGTAAAAGTAACAACAAGAACAAAAAGAAAAAAAAAAAAAAATAGACTCAGGAACCAAAATCAAACAAACAAATAGATAAAACCCATATTTTATATCTGTATATATGCAAAGAATTGAGAAGAAGTATGACACGAAAGTGGGTCTCTAATGACCCTTACAAAAAATAAAGGTATCATTGACCAGAGTTATATTGAGTGAACTGTACTCTCTCCACTCTAATTTACACCAAAAATAATAATAATACTTGTACAAGAATATAAAAATAAAAAAAGAGAACATTGCAGTTGCTCATTTTTTTTTTTTTTTT